CCCAGAGAGGAATGATCAAAGAACTGTTCTACTGCTGGCTTTTCATTCCTCTGTGATAATTGACTCCACTTTTTGCAGAGCTCTCTTCAGTTCAGTATTTTCTTCCCCCAGCAACAAGAAATATTTAGTTTATGGGAAAAAACAAATAAAGAAGACTCTCTATCACAAATATAGAGAACAATCTGCAATAGCAACTGAGACTCAAATATTCTTTGTTGAAATAGATTATCACTAAAGCCATTTCAACTCAGCATCAGGGTTGCTTCATAGTTGGGCAGCTTGGTCACTGTAAAGCTTTGGTCCACTGGATCATTTCACCTCCATTCCCTTTTGCTATGTCTCTTTCTTTTCTTGCATCCTGTCAGAATGTTTTTGTTGGTATTTGGCATGTATGTTTGGGGAAGATTTACTTCTCTGAGATATAGATGAGTAGTTTCTTTGGACTGGGTTGTTGTTGTTAATTGCGAAGTCATGTCCGACCCATCACAGCCCCATGGATAACATTCCTCCAGGCCTTCCTGTCCTCTACCATCTTCTGGAGTCCATTTAAGTTCACACCTACTGCTTCAGTGACTCCATCCAGCACCTCATTCTCTGTCGTCCCCTTCTTCTGTTGCCCTTGGACTGGGTAGTGTGCATGTAATTGAATCCATGAGGGAACTGAGGGCAGGAGAAGTCAATCAAGATTGTTATGGACAGTGGGATAAATGGTAAAAAATGGATCATGGCCCACTCATAGGCATAGCTGGAGTAATGGTTTAGACTTGTTTGATCATTCTCAAAATTGTCTGAACCAAGTTACTGGATCATTGGTAGCTCTTGGGTTTAACTGCTGTTATTAGACACCATATATTTGAACTTGGATCTTGTTATTCATGATTTGATGATGGAGGAGATGAATGATCTGGCATAACCATAACAATCAAATGACTGGGTGTGCAACTTCTGGTCGAAACTTGGCTAAAGAGATCAGTTGGGATTAAGTTTCTAGGTTTCATTGCCAGTTGGCAATAGAGAATTTGAGTCCAGCATTCTTGGGAATTTCAATCTCATTCCTGGTGGCAGGGAATCTGGGACAATTCAGAAGATCATGGTAGTCATCACTTGACCCTAGAGCCAAACAAATTGTTATTCACTAGCCTGACTTTTATCTCAGAACAGTTGTGATATGATGCGGAGAATCTTTTCATCAATCCTTTGCTCTAGTCAGATAATGATCTGTTGTTTGACTGCCAGATGCAGCCTATCCCCAGTGGAAATAGGACATATTCACTCGGTCCATTCCAAATCACCCTTTAGAATTCCAAAAGGAGCTTAAGGTTCATCCTAGAAAGCTGATAGACAGTTTGCCAGTGTTTCTTGTCTTCCACTGACCCGAATGGACATGTAACAAAGACATGTAACAAAGACCTTGATTGGATTGCTGCAATGCCACTTTTCATAATGCATCAATTCAAGGGTCTCTCTGGTAGATGAAATGCCATAAGAGACCACCAGGGGGGAATGTTGGGTTTTTTGCTTTGCTGTCATTGGTTCTCCAGAATATTTTTTTTAATAAATCACCCAGAGTTGTAATAATAAATAAGTGATTGGGAATCACTGTGCTTTGTAACTTATCTCAGCTCTTGAGTATGGCACACAACTACAAAGTGATCCATTTCTTTAAAGTTGTTGCATGTAAGACATTTTCTTTTATTAAGTTGGATATTTCATGTCCCAGAGCAACCTTTCATTGTACTGATTCAAATCACTTTGATCATGTCTTTTTCCTTTTCTTTTAATATTTCCCTATATGTCTTTATAGCAACCTCCTTAAGTTTCCCTGATGCTGAATCTAACCAGTTCTGAGTTCTTAAACGTCTGCATAGTTTCTTCTAAGATTACAGACTTTCCCACCACAGACTTTGTTTTATCTCTAAACTCACAAGCACTTGTTCTCTATGCTGGCACCTTTGGATCAATTTTTCTTGGATGCAACATATCCATCAATTATTCCCAAGAACAGAGAGAGAGACATTCTTCTCTGCTGCAACAGCTAAGGTGAAAGCTTGAAAACGTTGCTATGCCTGTTATGGGCCTTTGGCTTCAAAGAAGGTGCGTAATGGAGTGGGCACTGATGCACTTTCAGCTTAAACATAAATCTATTTGGGAATGCTTGGCTAACACAGGAGTCCTGCAAAAGCTGCAGCTTTCAGAATGTGTCAATGAGTGTGCTATATATGTCTTAGCCCCCCCCCCCAAGCATCTTTCCAAATTCCAGTCCAAACTTCCAAGATAGGTTCTCAGTCCTTGATTCTGTTCTCTGGCTTTGACTCATACAGTGCAAGTTCTATTCAAAACAGAGAGATCAGGGAACTGCGGTTCACAAAACAGCAGTGGGTGAATCAAAAGCTAGATCATGTTACTTTCTTTGTTTAATTGACTCCCACACATTCCCACAATATGTTTATTACACCTATGAGTTGTTATTAATCTTTGTTAAACCCTTGAATTTCTACATATGTGGAGGTAGAATGGAAAAGAATGTACTAACTTTAGCCCATCCTTGTTGTGTTTATTGCCCTTTTCGCTGCACAGAAAGAGTTTGTGGGCAGGTGAAGCTCTGTTACAGTCACTCTCCAGCAAAGCAGATTGTACCTATGCTTCCCTCCCTCCTCGTGTTTAGGAATCCCTCAAGGTAGTAACAAATGAAGAGTACTATCGATCCATTAAACTTATTGATTGATTGATATTTGTTTCCTGTATTTGTTATTTTTATAAACAACATAAAGCAGCGAACATAGCTAATACTCTTTTCTCCTCCTATTTTTCCCACAACTATGTTTGGTGAGTTAGACTGAGAGAGAGAGTGATTGGCCCAAACTCACGCAGCCAGCTTTCATGCCTAAGGTAGGACTGGAACTCACAATCTCCTGGTTTCCTGGTGCCTTAACCACTAGACCAAACTGGCCACAGCTTTTCATCTACATATATCCATGCATTTTTACACAGAACTCATAAATCTAATTATTTCACAAATTAAAATTTTATCTTAATTACCTTTTTTATTTATTTCTTCTGCACATACAAAGAAAATCTAGAAAAGAATATAATGAATAAAAACAGATTAAAAGGAGGTTTATAAACATAGTCGTTAGCTAAAAATTAAAAGGGATGTTAATATATGTCTACATTTTGAAAAAATGAGAAGCACAAATATGCCATTATATAAATATCATTATTACATGATAATTACCAAGTTGGCAAAGCCAACTGATATATGTTATGGGAAAATAAAAGTTGGTTCTTTAATAATAAAAAGCCACCAGTATTATTGGACACTGTACATAAAATAAATCATCTACTGATTATTTTGATTTCTAAAAATGCAATGGAGAATGATTTGTCTATTTTGGTGCTGCTTTTTTTTATTTCAGATAAACATTGTGTTCATCAATTGGTTTAATTATTCTTTTTGCACAAGGGCAGAAGTCTAATATTTATTTTAAGATTAAGTTTCAAATATCTCACTGGAACATGTGGACCCTTTATGTTTTAGGAGAAAGCATGACAGATTCAGCTTAAAGGCCATGCCAAAATATGCTTGATGAAGAGACAATATAGGTGGAAACATGGAGGATAAGCAGTGCAGAAAATGGAATGTTTCAATAACAACAACAACAACAACAATAATAATTGCACAGTCAGCCCGATGTTCAGACTGGGTTTGACATTTGGATGTTTGATGGTGTTTCTACTACTCTTGCTTGCCTTTGTCACAGTCATTCCATTTCTATTTGTATGTGTTTGTATTTTGTTATCTTCTCCAGTTCTTTCTCTTCTATTCTGTTGTCTCCTGGCACTGCCACATCCACTATCCACACTTTTTTGTCTTTCTTATCAACAATTTCTAAGTCTGGGGTGTTATGTGGCAGGTGCCTGTCTGTCTGAATTCTAAAATCCCAGAACAATTTAACTTCTTCTTTTTCTATGACTTTCTCTATTTTATGGTCCCACCAGTTCTTGCTTGCAGGCAAATTATATTTCTTGCAGATCTTCCAATGCACCATTGTTGCTACTTTGTCATGCCTCTGCTTGTAGTCAGTCTGGGCGATCTTCTTGTAGCAGCTTACCAGGTGGTCCACTGGTTCTCCCCTTAGAATACCCACCATCCCCAAATCTTGTCCTCACTCCCCCAGTGCATTTATCGTTATAGCTTATGGTATGTCTTAGGAACAAATACAGTCTTATCAATCTATACCAGTTTATTTAGAAGCACATTTTATCTTTTTGTGGTAAAGACTTTATTATCTACTTTATGTAACAAGATGGGTCAATATGGTGATGGACAAATTGGATCATTCCTCCTATTAGATAGCAAAGAAATTAAAGCTCCCTTCAAAGAAAAAGAAAATTATTTAATGTTGCTGAATCTCATTTGTTTCCCAACTTAATTTTTGTCAGAGGTTCCTGATTATATACTGTAGTGTAGAATGGACTTTTAAATCATAATTATTATTAGTAGTTCTACTATTACTAACATTATTATTTTATGGTTTTTTTTTTAAAAGAATACAATTAATGACTAGGTATTTATTTATTGATCAATTTTTTAAAACTGCTCATCGCTGTCACAGAGGGACCCTGGATGGTATAGAAGCAAATTTGCACTAGGGACTATTCCACAAAAGAATGATACTGCTTTTTACCAAGTAATTAAAATCACTTTTCTTCATTAAAACAAATCAGACAAAAAGTTCTCAACAAAAAGTTGAAGAAGACAAAAGAATAGTAAAAAGCTAAGAAAACAAATGGTTCCAAAAGAAAAGCACTTTGCTTTTCATGATCTCCTAATTATTCTTTCATATCACAATCCACATTCCATGAGATTATAGATCATTGCCAATCATCTTTTAAAAACTAGACAATATTGAATTCTATGGTTAAATTTTGCCTCTCTGTCAAAATGAAGGCATTTCAAGGCTGAGAAAACAGCTTGTTATAATTTTTTTTTGGTCAGATCAACGTAACACAGCACAGGTCTTGTATGGCATGGGAGAGGAAATAAGTCCAACACAAGGAGTCAGATCCAGGTCATCTTTAGATGTTCCCGGGGGTGGCTGGAAGGTAAATTTCTGCAAGAGGCTGGTGAAGAAGAGGAAGAGCTCCATTTTGGCAAGGTTCTCACCTGCACATACTCTCCGACCTGGAAGAAAGCAAAGGTGGCAAAAAAAAAAGAGATTTGTGTTTATTGGTTTCTTAAACTATTTCTCAAGGGTTTCCCAATGTTCTGTGGCCATGGAGAGATCAGCACACAGGAAAACAATAACAAATCAAAGATATGGAAAGATGTAAAAATGCAATAATGGAGAATGAAAATTTTTACGACTACTAAATGGGAGCAGATTTCTGAATTTGAAAATAATATCAAAAAGTTGGAAAATTAATACCAACAAATGGANAAGATAGGTTTTGGGGTGAGTGGGTTATTGCTTAATTGGACATAATCCAAAATAACTTGACGGGAAAGGTTTTTGGCCTCCCCGGGGCATCCCTTCTGCTTATCTAATTCTCTGGTCTTTGGGGAACATTTAGTTCTTGGAATAGAGAAAACCTCTGACAAAGGCTTCTTGAAAAGAATGCTAATAAATATCTGATTGTGGTACACTCATCTATATTTTCTTCCCAATACCATTACAGGTAATCTTCAATTTATAAAAGTTCATTTAGTGACTGTCTGAAGTTATAATGGCACTGAAAAAAGTGATTCACGACCACTTTTCACTTAGCTTAGAATGAAATCAGGGCCAAACTACTAACAATAGGTGAGGTCAAGGGCTTGGACCTCAAATGACTGAATTAGGTTATTTTAGATGTGTTTCAAAGCATTAGGATTCAGGATGCTATTTTTGCTTTGTTGTCATTTAAACTTAAAAAGATTTTTTTAATGTATTTAATTGTAGCCCTGGTTTAATTTTAATCCAGCTCCCTTCTCTCTAACACTCTTTTTTTAATCATCTTATTTTATTTTGCTTTGTTGCATTTTATGCTCTGTCATGTTGCTCTGACCTAAGAATAAAAGCTTAAGAAAAGCTAATAAAGGGTTCAACCTAAGAAGAGCCAACGTTCTTTGGTCTGAAGGCCCCAGTCAGCCAGGAAGGCTGAAAGGCAAGATTCATCCTGGACTGCCAAAAGGCAGAGATGCTGAGGCCAGCACAGCAGGAGTAACCGTAACTCAGGTACAGAGTTGAGGATTCCCCTGGCAGACTCTGGAATCAACATACTCGTCCCTGAATGAGCCTGTCCATGAGGCCTAAACTCTTGTCAGAATAAGGTCTATGAGATCAAGCTTTTATCAATGGTTTTCAAACAAGGAATAAAGGGCTGCCTTTTATAGAACACACTCTACGACATCAGAGAATCTCACCTGCGGAAAATGGCATGAATGCATCCCTTTTCACAAATTTTCCTTCAGAGTCAAGAAAATGCCCAGGATAGAAGTCGTGAGGTTTCTCCCACTGAGATTCATCATGGAGCACAGAAGTCAGCAAGGGAATGATGTACGTGCCCTAAAAAAATTGAAAGGATAAAAGGATGATACGGAAAGGAGTACAGTATGTCCATTTAATGCATATCTGTAGAAATTAATACAGGGATATTATAAAGTGTTTATTGAGAAGTAAATATTGGACCTGGCACAATATTCAATTGTTGTGTTATATATATATATATATATATATATATATATATATATATATAACTGCACTGTATATATATATATATATATATATATATATATATATATATATATATATATATATATATATATATATATATATATATATATATATATATATATATATATATATATATATATATATATATATATATATATACCACTGCACTGTTATGCAGTGGTTTTCCTCCTTCCTCACCGACCGTACGCAGTCTGTATTGGCAGGGGGACAGAGGTCGACTCCTAGGCCCCTAACTTGTGGGGTGCCTCAGGGGTCGGTCCTCTCTCCCCTACTGTTCAATATTTATGTGAAGCCGCTGGGAGAGATCATTCGGGGCTTTGGGGTGGAGTTCCACCAGTACGCTGATGATACTCAGCTGTACA